AAAGCATCAAGGGCAAAAATCATATGATCCACCCAACAGCTGTAGAAAAAGCTTCTGACAAACTCTCGCACCTATTCATGATATAACTGAAATACATGGTCTTTAACTCAATCACCAAAAAAGCCATCTATGACAAACCAACAGCCAACATCATACTAAAGGGACAAAAACAAAGCTTTTTTTTTCTAATCAGGAATAAGACAAAAATGTCCACTGTCTCCACTTTTATTCACCATAGTCCTGGAAACTTTAGCTCGAGCAATTATACAAAAGAAAGAAAATAAGGAATAAAGATGGAAAACTAAGTTAAACTTTCATTGTTTGCAGATAACATGAGACGCTCCATAGAAGACTCTAAAACCCCAAAACTCCACTAAAAAACCGATAGGTTAGTAGTAAGGCTGTCAACACTCAAACATCAATAACCTTTCTGTGCATGAATAAGAATCTCACTGAGAAAGAAATCATAGAAACAACAGGTTTTACAATAGCATCCAAAAAAATGAAATACCTAGGAATCAATCTAACAGAAGAGGTAAAAAACTTCTATATTGAAAACTCCAGTACTATAAAATAGGAGATTGAAAAGGATATTACAAAATGGAGAGCTATCCCTTGCTCTTGGGATGGAAAAATCAATATAGTGAAAACAGCCATACTTCCAAAACTATTATACAGATTCAGTGAAATCTCGGTCAAAATTCCAATTGCATATCTCACATAATTAAAGAAAACAATCCTAAAATTAATCTAGAACCAGAAGAGACTTAGAATAGTAAAGGCAATCCTGGGCAACAAGACAAGACAAGGGCCATTACAATCCCTGACTTGAAATTATACTACAAAACTACTGTGAAAAAAAAAATGTGGTACTAGCAAAAAAACAGACCTGAAGATAAATGGAACAGATTAAAAGATGCAGAAACAACTGTCGACACACTATGTCCCCTTATCTTTGACAAAGGTGCCAAACATATTCACTGTAAGAAACTCCTTAATAAATGGTACCGGACAAAATGACTCTACATGTGACAAAGATTAAAACTGGACCCGTATCTTTCACCATGCACTAAGCTAAAATCAAAATGAATCAAAGATTTTAATATTAAAACAGTAACATTAAGCCTGCTGGAAGATAAGAGTAAGTAAAACTCTTAAAGACATTAGTGTAGGCAAAGATTTTATGAATGAAACCCATAGTGCACAGGAATTACAACAAAGAATCAACAATTGGGATATCATCATATTGAAAACTTTTGCACAGCAAGAAAAACCAGCAACAGCATGAAAAGATAACCCACAACAGAGAAAATGTTTGCCAGTTACTTCTTAGACAAAGGATTACTACTCAGAACATATAATGAACTCCAAACAATCAGTCCTCCCACATTGGAAGACCCAATCCAAAAAATGGGCATCTGAGATGAATACACATTTCTCAGACGAAGAAATGTGCACTGTAAATAAATATGTGAAAAACTGTTAAATATCACTGGTAATTCGATACAAACTAGAACAGCACTGAGATTCCGCCTCATTCCGCAAAGAATAGCTATTATCAACAAATCAACCAACAGCAAATGCTGGAGAGGCTGTGGGGAAAAAGGAACCCTTCTCCACTGTTAGTGGGCATGCAGACTGGTGCAACTGCAATCAGTGTGCAGATTCTTCAAAAAACTAGGACTAGAGGTCCCATTTGACCCAGTTATTTCCCTTCTGGGTATCTTCCCAAGAGAACAAAACACATCACACCACAGTAATATATGTGCACCCATGTTCATAGCAGCACGATTTGTAACATCCACATCTTGGAAACAACCTAAATGCCCATCAACTGAGGAATGGATAAGAAAGATATGTTTTTTTTATACAATGGAATACTACACAGCCATAAAGCAGAAGAAACTTGACTTTTTGTAAGTAAATGGATAAAGTTTGAGACCATACTCACAAGTGAAATAAGACACACATGTGTAAACATCATACTGTCTCACTTGTGTAAGAAGCTGAAAGAAACATGTGTGTGTACACACACACACACACACACACACACACACACACAAAACTAGTTAAGGTAGTTATACTACTGATTTCTCTGAATTCACTTAAGAGAAATATCTGTGCTGGTAGTGTTCAACAATTGAATGCAGATGTCTCATTCTCTGTGTGAATGAGCTAGAGATGACAATGTGCAATGTATGCACCATAGTTGCCCCCTGATTGATGTCTTCTGAAATTTTGTTGTAGTTTTTTTTTTTCTTGTTTTTTTTTTAATCCTCAAAATAAAATGGATTTAGGGAGAAAAAAACATCAATCTGGTAAATTTATATACTAACAATGTATATATATTGCTGACATCTAGCATAGTTCAAAACTCAAAAGGCTCCAAAGCTGTTTAGAACATTTTTGTCTTCAAGCCTTCTTCCTCTCCCAGGAAGCAATAGATGTCACCAGTTTCTTATGAATACTTTCAGAAATGGTCATCTTTGAGTTTAATGTAAATACTCTTTTTTTTTTTTGTCCTTTTGGTACTGAGAATTGAACTTAGGACCTTGTGTTTGCCAGGCAGATGGTTTTGTCGCTGAGCTACATCCCTGCCCCAGAGTTTAATGTAAATAATACAGCAGAATACTGTTTTACCAAAACTAGCAAAATAACTTAGTAAGAATCTCCTTCTCCAAACCAATAACCTTCCCCCAAAATATTCCTGATCCAAAGTAAAAATACAATTTTGAGAATTCTCACTAGTACTCCTAGACCTTGGGGAAGCAAGCCAAGGGCCTAAGTGACCTCAGAAAAACTCAGGAGTGTCCCCGCAAGGAGGCAAATGCCTGTAATCCCAACACTTGGGAGGAAGAATAGCATTTGAGGTCAGCCTGAGCTACAGTGAGCTCAAGGCCAACCCGAACTATTCAGAGTAAGACACTGTCAAGAAATGAAAGAAAGCAAGAAAGCAAGAAGAAAGAAAGGAGGGAAGAAAGGCAGGCCTGGCATATAGCTCAGCAGTACAAGCACCTGCCAGCAACTGCAAAATCCTGATTTGGATTCCCAGTACAAAAAAAAAAAAAAAAAAAAAAAAAAAGGAGGAGGAGGAGAGGGGAGAAGAGGGGAAGGGAAGAGAAGGGAGGGGAGAGGAGGGGAGGGTTGAGACACTGAAGAGTAAACACTCCTGCAGGGCCTCAGTTCTGTTTTTCAGGATCTCCAATCTCCATGCTAAATCTGAAGAATGAAAGACAGCCCCTTGGGACTTGGTACACGGCTTTTAATGGGATCTGAAGTCCAGATTCCCAGTAGCAATTCTCTCAGCCACAGCACAGGGTTAGATTTTGCCAATAAAAAGGATGCATGCCACTTTTAGGCCATGTAAGTAAGAGGTAATGTCCCTACCATCTCTTCTTCACCTGCCTGCTGAAGGACTCCAAAGGTACAAGATGGCAGAGCCATGACAGAAAAGGAGGCTGAGCCCTCATCCTAACAGGAAAAGTTGCCTGTGACAGGAAGCCGCACTGGACTTCAGCAGTTACTCAGTTGTGCTTAATGTTAAACATGCAACAATTCAACCTCTTAATTTATCTTAACAAAAATCAAACTCAAAATAACTTTAAAAACCACAATCTCTAGTACTAAATTCCTGAATTCTAATCAACGCATTAACTCTGTGTATTAAATCCAACTTCAACAAATGTAGTATTACCTAAGAGCAAATGAGTGACTTACTATTTCACTTTAGTTATTCCTGTGGATTTGTACCTGCTTATCCTAACTGAATACAGGCACAGGAAACTTTCCAGCATAGTGACCCACAATGCATGGGAGGGCTGCCTTCTGGTTCTCCTTACTGCTGAAAGTCTTAATGATCATGTCATGGTAATAATCCCCCCAGCAAAAACTGTGCATTTTACTGATGAGAATAGCCTAGGTAATATACAATAATATTGTTTTCCGAATTCAAGCATTCTTGTTCCAGAGCCCATGCTAACAATTCCTGTATCATATTGTCTCTGTGTTAAGTACATGTCTTTTTCAAAAATGGGATTATGTACTATGCTGCCTCTAGATTGTTTGCTTTTTTTTTTTCTCCCCCAATGGGCAATACTAGCAGAGCATCTGGAAACAGCTGCTGCTAGTGCCTAATGTCATGCATCAGGGGTAAGGCCAAGGGCAAACTGAAAACCTGGATGGCAGTCACACTAGCTCTACACTGGACACTGAAGAAGCGTATTATTCACAAGATTTCTCTAATGTTGGCTCATCTAAAGCAAAAGGAAGCTTAGGAATCTGGGTATTAACATTTCAGAAAAGTAGGTAGGAGTGAAGCAGGAACGATCACTCACACGCATTCCCAGCACATCAGGGAGGAGCAGCACCTTCCACTACAAAGCATGCGCTGGTATAATTTCTGCAAACCTTCCCTACAAAACAGTTTTATCAGCAATTCAGAGAAATTTGTGTGTATGTTTTACAGTAACACAAATTAACTTTTAAAATGCTCTGCCAAATAACGATTTGTTTTAAATAGGAAAGAAATATAGAATATTTAGTGGAAGTTATGCTAACTAACACCTGCTAAAACTCCTATATAACTTTTAATTTTGTATCGTTGACTGAAATTCAATCTTTATAAATGAATTCAGCTCACCGAGTCTGAATATGCTACTGCTACTCATATAAATGATCAAGATACTGGTTGTAGTAACATGGCCTCCCATGCATTAAATATATTAAATTTCTTAGGGAAAATGTTACAGCAAAGTCAGATTTACTAGTGGCATGGGAAACACAAGCGGCACTTGGGAGAAATGGAAGGAACCAAGCTTTATTAAGCTAGTTGGCCCAGAGGAGTTGATCACTCCAAATTCTGAGCCCTAAACTTTTAGGGAAGCAAGGATTTTATAATTTTTAACTGGGCAGAGTTAAGAGGTGAGCTTGTTATAGAAAATGCTACAGCTCACAGCAAAGGCCACAGCAGACTGAGACCAATAATCAAGAGGCAGCCAAGGTTTGGAGGCAAGTTTACAGCTTTATTGACACCAGCAGTCCAGAGTAGGGGTGCTCCCAGACTGAGGCCGTGAATTCTCAGTGTGCTTTTATAGGGACTGTAAGCAAGTAGGAAGTACAGAAGCGGAGTGCATGTTAACTGACTGGACAAAAAGTTACACTGGGTTTCACCTTTTCTGCATACAGCTGAACTGGTGTTACATGATTGGTCAAAAGGTTACATTCTAGTTTTACCTATTTTAATAAGCAAGAAGAGGAATGCATTGTTCTAGGAAACAGAAACTTATTGAGAGGATAAAAGGCTTATTTAAGAGTGGGGGTAATCCACTGGGAACAAATGGATTTTCCTGCGTTAAGCTGAGTGGAATTGTACAGAAGCAGTTTACCAGTTTTTTGGGTTTTTTTTTTTTTTTTTTTTTTTTTTTTTGGTACCAGGAATCAAACTCATAGTAGGTGCCATTAACTTGGTGTTACCAGGTGGGAGGGCCTAGGGTCCAGTGGGCACAGAGACCGTAGGATCTTTTGGTTAAAAGGTATCACTAACAGAAGCTGTTGGAACAGTGTGGATATAAAGTAGAAGAGAGCCAGAGTAAAACATTAACTGTCAGGCAGGGCATGGGGCTGAGCCTTGGAGAGAGAAGGGGGTTCCTAGGTGACCTATTTTCTCCTATTATCCTCTCCGTAGGCAGTTTCATAGGATATCATTAGTAGCTACAGGGCTGTGATGAATGAGCTCCCAACAGCAGGCGGTGGACTGGTTGTATGTTGAGAGCTTAAACTCATTTTTGGAGGAACTCTGTAAGGCACTTAAACAGGTAGGGACTGAGCAATCTAAAGAAGATAAAGCCCCGTGGCCCAACTAAGGGTATAAGCCATCACCTGGAGCTGCATATCTGGGACCATTCTGAGTATGTTTGCCTGGTCTCAGAGACTTCTGACTGCCTGATGAGTGACCTCTGATGGGTTAACATAATGGGGGGAAATGAGGTGCGGGTTTCATTGGCCTGTGACAATGGTGACAAGGAGAGGCAGCCTGATTAAGGTTTTTGGCAACAGCCATTATCAGTGAGGCCAAAAGTGGATAATTTATCTTTTAAAGAAAGTGGGTAATCTATTTTTAAAAAGAAACAGGAGAAACACCCTATACAGAGGGTCAAGAGGGTTTTTTGGGCAGTAGTCCACTGGACTGGTGTGACTACAGTGAGGCCAGTGGTAAAAACCTGGGTAAGCAGTCCAAGGAGACCTAAGAGCCAAGGAGAACACTCCAGGAAGTAAGGACCTGTGACCAGCGTCCTTAGGTTTAAGCCATGCATAGACTGGTCAGCTCTCAGTGACTAAAGCAGGGTGGTCATCTGTTGGGTTCAGTCTCCAGTCACGTTTGGGTTGATGTGGCTTGCAATGGAGTTGGGTCTTGAGGGATATGGTGGGTGGTCTCAGTCAATGGGTAATTTGGGGGTTAGCCTTTTTGATCTGGGTAACAGTCATGGGGTGCAGACTGTAACCATGACAGCAATGGGGGCAGCAAACACAACGTGAGGTCCAGTACAGATAGGCTGAGACTCCTTTTACCAGTCTTTTAATCTCCTGGTCGAACTGGATGTACAAGATTGCCAGCGGGGATAAAAGCACTGCCTCGGATGGTTGTGATGATCTGAAACGTTTTCCCCGACATCTGTAATTCTGCTATACACCTATCTTGCAGTTGTGTAACATCTCCACTGAAATGTCTAATTATTGGAGGCCTTTCAGACATTACCCTCATAGGCAAAATAGTCCTTGGGTCCAGGCACACATCTGATTCTCAGCAGGGCTAAGAGGAGCATTTCTGTACAGTCTGTTCCTGTTTTTCACAGAACTTGGCCATGATGGCCTTTAGGGTCCAATTCACATACTCTTTTTGCTCTGAACTTGGTGGAGGTTGGCTTTATGTGGATTCCTTTTCATCTTTCAGAGGTCTGAGAGGCCTTCAACAGTCTGAACCATACAGGCAATCCCACTGTCACTTCCACTCAACAGAGAGAGCTAATTATCAGGGGATAACTTCTTTGAACTTCTTGAGCCTTCTCTGTCTTGACTGGTTTGGCCTCTACCCATCCTGAATAGGTACAATTACTAGCACATATTATACCTAAAACAGAGCTTCATTTCAATAGTCTATCTGTAGATCCTCAGTGAGGTGTCCATGTGTTGAATTCCCACGAGTAACTGTGGCCTTTGCGAAGACTGTTAGGAGCACAAGTATGACATCTTTGCCAGACAGTGGCACAGAGCAATGGAGTCTTCCAAGTAATATCTCCCAAAAAGAGTCTTTAGAGCAGTCTTCCCAAGCTGCATCTTCTGGTGGCCTTCTTGAACAAAATTAACCCTCTTGGGCCATGAAAGTGTTGTGATCCTGGAGTATCCATCATCCTCCCATCAGAAAGCAAAAAGCAATGTTGTGGGGTTAGCCAAATGCAAAAGGCATCTTTGACGCCCACACAGGTAAACTAGGTTGTTTTTGGTGGAAGTTGGCTCAGAAGAATGTAGGGGTTGGGTACAACCAGGTGAAGCATAATGTTGGCACTGACAGCTTGGAGGTACGGACTAGCCAGTATCCATTTCCTCTGGGCTTTTTTTTTTTTTTTTGTATCAGGGATTGAACTCATGACCTTGCACTTGCCAGTCAGGCACTTATGCCACTGAGTTAAATCCCCAGCCCACTCTGGGCTTCGTGACAGGAATATGGTTTTAGGGAGATTGGCACTTGCTAAGGATTCCTGCCTCTCATAGCCAACTGATATGTTCTTGGATTCCCATTTGTGTTATAGTCTTATTTTGGCAGATGTTGCTTCTGGCTTGAGGTCTACTATGATTGGAGGCTGGCCTTTTTTTTTTTTTTTTTTTGGCCAGTCCTTTTTTTTTGGCCAGTCTAAACTTCTGGGTATGTCTCAAGCAAGTCTAGAGGAATGACTTCTTTCTGTGTGTGTCTCTAGTTCTCTTCCTATGTGACCATTACAGAGAATGTCATGGCAAAACGAACCAAACAGAGGGACACACAGCACCGAGATGCTCTAGGAGACAGTAAATATCAGTAGACCTGATTGGGCTCGCTCCTAAAGAATCAGCGCCCTGCCCAGTGGGGTTTTAGGGCTTTTATGGGAACAGTAAGTGGGAGGTACAGAAGCAGATTTGGCACATTATGATTAGAAGGTTGGAAGACATCATGAGTTGCCAAGGGAGTTTAAATGTCTTTACATGGCAAGGCTATCAGTTACACAAAGGAAGGAATGTCTGCTATCAGACTTGTCTACACATGTCCAGTTGGTTTTAGCAGGCATTCTTGGTGGGCTTTTACTGTAAAATTTTAATTCTCTTTCATATCCCCTTCTTTTAGTCATCAGAAAAATCATTTCCAGACATATTGGTGTTTAGGGCTCTGTAGGAGAGACCTGATCTGAGTCATCTAAAGGCTGATACTACTAATTATGTTTTGTAATAAAGGAGGTGAATCAATTTAATAAGCAAGATCCAATTAGGAGTATAAGGAAGAGGCCCGATAGTGGTCCTAACACATCTCCCAACCGTAACTCCCAGTTTCCCAGGGAGCTACACCAAAAGGAGCCTGTCTGACTCAGACCCACTGGTTTATTCATTCTCACAGTTGATAAACAGTTTGCCTAACAACACCAGACTTACCAGCATAACAGCAGCATCTTTCCTCTAAGCACAAGTACATGCCTTTTTCTTGGGCCATAAGGTCTAACGCCCTGTGGTTTTGGAGAACTACTGTGGGTAGGGAATCAATGTGGTCTTGTACCATGTCAAGGGCTCCCTGAATTACTGTAAAATCATCCTATATTTGGGTGCCTAACTATAAATACTGTTGCTGGCCCATGACCAAGGCAGTGGCCCTAAGGGCTTGACTCTTTGCTATTGCTATTCCGGCCACCACTGACAGTACTACTAGATCACCCTTTTGGCGGGGCTGGTGGGGCTAAGTGTGGCCTTACTGACCTGAACAGACAAGAGGTCAAACAAGAAACAGGCAAGTGCACAGACACTAATCTTTGTGCTTGAAAACACCCAATGGATCCCATCAGAGCAAATGAAGGTTCCATAAGGGGTCATCAGGTAGCCTGAGGTAGCAATCAGAACATCCATAGTCAGCTGAGACATCTGGTTTTACAGAGGAACCCAGGAGACATGTGGTATTCCCCTCTATCTCCGGAGGGTGGAGACGGAGTAAGGGACCAGTGGCAGAAGAGTTAAGGTAGGTACTGTTTAGGGTCAAGCCTACAGCATGTGAGGGCCATGAGGGGCATACATGGCCAACAATCACTGGCCAATTTAGGATCTACTGCTTGGAGGACCTAATGGGTGCTGTTAACGAGGTACAGGTCTGGCATGGGGGAGGGAAGTGTTTGGGAACTATTGGATTGAGGGACCAGGGACACCAAGGGAAAAAGTGATGGTTTTGGTATAGGGATCTTGACATGGGAGATACAAACCTTCTTAAAGATTACTATCATTCCTGGATCCTTTCCCCTACCATCAATTCGAACACCAACTTGACGACCTTTTAGCCAGTCTTTGTGGTTGGGATCAGTGATTGTATACTTTATGGGATTACAGGTTCCCTGCTGGCAGTTTGGACTGGATGGCAGCTGAGTAAAGGGGACCTTGTCCCAGTTGAAGGTCCCGTATCCTGGGTAGAACAAATTTGGACAGCCCCAGGAATCACAGAACCAGTTCTCAGGATCACTACAAAATCCTCTCTTCAGTTTAGGTTCTTCCTCCCACCCCAGACAGACATACTTGTTGTTGCCACGATATTCTCGCTCCCAGTTTAAGCCTCCGCAGCCTGAGGAAAAGGAGCTAGCTATGTTGGGGCAGGCATCAAAATACAGAGACACAGTAGCCTGAGAGGGGTCCCACCTGGTTTGGTTAAGGACTGTCACAGTGCCAGCCAACTGGACTTGGAACTCCCAGTACCATAAATTTGCACAGCAAGCACATGGGCCAAGCAAGCCGAGTAAAAGCAGACACAGATTGGTACTGGCAATCATCTTGACCCCAGGAAAGGCAGTACAGAGGATACAGTATAGAAGAGAACAAGTGATCTTATGGTACAGGTCTTACAGCCCAGATCCCTGGGGCAAATAATAAAATTATCTAGAAACTAAACTGGGTAGCAGAACATGAATCAATCAGGACAGAAGCTCTGGTGTACGGTGTCTGTCTGGCATCAGCTGTGCATAGATACGTGCATTTCCAGGTGATAGGACGTGCTTTGAGTGTGTTTTCTTTTCACTGTCTTCAGAGGAGTGGATTCATCCAGATAGCCTCTCGATCCAAGAATGACAGATCCACAGCTGGATCTCAGACACCTTTATTGCTGTGGGAGTCATCAAAATAATTATGTAAGGGCCACTTCACATGGGCCTCTTTTTTTTATTCCAATCTTTTACTCACCTAGGTCCCCAGGTTGAAAATGTGTGCAGGTGTGTGTGTGCGTGTGCACACATGTGTGTGATGGGTCCCTGTGGGGATGATTGGCCTTTCAACTATGTTCTTGTGTGAGTTTTTTTAAACTGTATAAGCTGTTGCCATGGAGATCTGTTACTTAGCTGTTGAAGGCTCCCTGGGAGACCCCTAACTATGGATAGAGTCTCCCATGCAAATTCAAAGGGTGTGTATCTCATGGACCCTTGTGAACTTGGGACCTTGAGGAGGGCCACAAGAGGCAAATCTACCCATTGTGCCAGTCTCTTGGTGATATTTAGTCATTATGGACTGTAAAGTCCTATTCATTTTTTCAACTTTTCCAGTTTTATAGCCTGTATGCTTTATGTTAAGTTCTGATTTTTAATTCCTTAGTCAGTTTCTGGGTTATTTCTGCCACAAATGCAGGTCTACTGTCGCTGCCTATGGGCAGCCCATATCTAGGAATTATTTCCTTCCCTAATAACCTATAGACTTCAGTGATCTTTTCCTTTTTAGAGCAAACTGTCTCTGGCCACCCAGAATAAGTACAGATGCATGCCAGGAGATATATGTAACTTTCTACATGGCTTGATTTCTATAAAATCTGTTTGTGTATGTGACAAAAGGGGGAAAGTCCATTATGTTTGATACTGGGTGGGGCTTAAGTCTAGATGGAGGTTCTGTCCTTATGCAGGTTGACATCTCTGACTGATCAAGGCACAAATTGAGGCTTATTTTGGAAATAACAATAGCAACCTAGAAACTGATTCACAGCAGCAGCTTTTGCTTCATGGGTGATAACATGATGGCATTTTACTCTGGCATAGACCAAATTTTTAAGAATGATCATCTGATTATTGGGCGAAGTTCAAACACTGTTTGGCCAATGAGGACCTCTACCTGTTGAGCCAGTTTCTTCCTTGGAGTAGTAGAGGATCTCGCTGCAGAGACAGGGTAGTTTTAGTGGGTGTTTCATGTTGGGTTTCTGAGTTGGGCTTCAAGTAATTTGCATTCCAGGTGGAGCCCTCAGCTGCCATTTTTGCAGCTTTATCAGCCTTCAGATTTCCCAGAGTGACAGTGTCTTTTACTTTCCAGTGTCCCTTACAGTGGATAATGGCAATCCTTTTTAGTTTCCAAATTGTAGTCAAGAACTAGGAAATTTCATCCTTGCTTTTAATTTGCCTTCCTTCTGCCATGGAGCCTACACTCCTTGTATAACAAACATACCATGGACAGAGAAGGTAGTGAAAGCAAACCTTGAGTCAGTGGAGATGCTTATCTTTTTCCTTTTGCCCAGTTGAGAGCTTGGATTAAGGCCCACAGTTCAGCCTACTGGGCAGGCCACTTTTGGGTAAGAGGCCTGGTTCCTCATGGTAACAATAGCATAACCAGCCTGAGTTTTCCATCCTTCACTGAGCTACTTCTATTAAACAGGGTATGCTCAGCACCAGACAAGGGCTCCATCTGCAGATCTGGCCAGGTAGCAAAAAGCTCAATGGTCAAAGTGAGACAGTCATGGTCAGGGGGCTAAGCTCAGTGAGCAAGAAGATAGCTGGGTTCAGAGGTTTGGTCTATCAGAAGATGAGCCAGAGTTTCACAAAGCAGTCCTTTGAGAAATACAGCTGTGAGAGCCAGTGGTAACCTCAACTATTTAGTAACAGCATATCAGACTTGGACGATCAGCTTTTGTCACAGGGTTAATCTGTCTGTCTCTCTGATCGGGAGGACGGTTGACACCAGTGCTATCAGGCAAGAGGCCAACCCTTAGAGTCGACATTACTTGACAAACAGGCAATGGGTCTTTCCCATGGCCAATCTTTTGGGTTAGGACTCCTAATGCTACATGTCTTTGTTCATCAACAAACAGGTTCAAGGGTCTAGTCATATCAGGAATGCCTAGTACTGGGGCAGCTGATAGTAGTCATTTTGTGGTCCAAAAGGATTCAGTCTGTTCTAAGGTCTAGTTTAACAGCTCTTTCATTTTCTCGTCCTGTCAGCAAAGCCTACAAAGGCCTAGCCTTGTCAGTAAACCCCAGAATCCAAATTTGACAGAAGCCTGTGTCACCAAGGAATACTCTACGCTATCTTTTATTCTCGGGCCTTAGAATGAAACACATGACTTCTTTTCTCTTGGGGTCCAGGCACCTGAATCCTTTTTCTAAGTCAAACCCCAAATAATGTACTTTCTGTTTGTATATTTGAGCCTCATTCCAGGAAATTTTATAGCCTGTGGCTAGCAGGTGGCAGAGGAGGGCTTGTGATCACTGAGGTCCAGAGTCTGAGGGTATTTACTGGCCTGCACTGTTCTCTGGTATTGAAGAGGGTCAAGAGTAGCTGGCAACAATCATCCTAAGTAGGGAGGTGAGTCTGGTGGACAGACTCCAAGAATCCAGGCATCAGAACAAAGAAATAGGTGGCCTCTGACAGTTTTTCATAATGCATGCACTATCTGGATGTCTAAGGTTCCTTCAGGAGCCATCGAACACTAAATTGGAACTAATCTATTTCACAGAGGGTCTAAAATTTTGTGGGCTTCAACTTAATTCCATACTGTCCATTAAATCCCTCCTTGAAATTCTTAATCACATGGTCTAAGACTGTGGGCTTACTGTGTATGCTGCCTACGGGTTATGTCCCTTGAATGGAGGTACAACAAAAGTGGGTATCCCCAGAGGATACCATTCAGATGCCTGCTTGGCCATGCCCCATGTGGGAACTTAGGCATGTCTTGGCAAAGGTGCACCCATATAAACCCAAGTCTGGTCAGCCTCCTATTATGGGGGGAGAGTCACCATTATGCTATAGGACACTGCCATGGAAATGTTAGTTAGGGCCCAACAAGACTACATGGTTTGGGATAGTTACTGTATAGTTGCACAGACTGGTTGTCATATGTCATTCACACACATGCTGACAGACATTCAGAGTTTAAACATTCTTCCCCTCTGGGAAATCCCTTACTGAGTTTTCTGGCCTGAGACCTTGGAAGGTAATCAAGCTCCCCTTCTGTCTGCTGGAACAGACCCAACTGAGCCTGAACTCCAGGGCCTTACCTCTAAAGTCTAAACAGATGACCAGTCCACTTGTCCTCTGAGTCTAGTCTGAAGAAGAGGGTGCAGTCATCAGTTGCCCTCACCCAATGAAGGAGGTCCTGCTGACCAGGGCAGGGTCGTGCCACCTTGTTCTCTTGGAAGGGTTCCTAGCAGCTGCTCTCCAACGCCGAGCTGGTGGCTCAATGGGCCAGCGTGGTCAGTTATCTGGTCAGGGAACCAAATGTTACAGGAAAGTCAGATTTACCAGTGGTGTAGGAAACACAAGCGGCACTCTGGAGAAGTACAAAGAACCAAGCTTTATTGAGCCAGCTGGCACAGAGGAGTGGATCACTCCAAATTCTGAGCCCTGAGCTCCAGGGAAGTAGAGGTTTTATACCTCTGTTTTAGTTAGGTGGGTGTCAGGGTGAGCTGAGTGGAATTTTACAGAAGCAGAAGTTTAGCAGATATTTTCTTGAAGTTACACAATGAGGGCAGTTAAGATACAGTGAAAACAGAGGCTGTGGTTAAAAGAGAGCACTAACAAAAGCTGTGGGAACATTGTGGTTTCAACCAGAACAGAGCCAGAGTAAAACATTAACTATTAGGTGGGGGTGTTGTGGCTGAGCCCTTACAGAGAGGAGAGAGTCCCAAAGGGATTTACTGTTTATCTCAAAAACTGCAATTTTTGAAGTGTAGAAACTTGTTACAAAAGAAAAGGAGGGAGGAGTGGGAGAAAATGGATCATTTCCTCTCACAAAGGAAGATTATTCTTCAGATTACAGATGTAACAAAGTAACTTTTAAAAAATAAAGGTTTTCCTCATAACACCTTGAGATGTCCAATTTTTCAAGTAACTGACCCACAAGTCACTTTTCACAAGGAGGTCATGTATGCCAGCTTCTTTCAACAAGAACAATTAACAGCCTTTTCATTTCCAGAATAACCATCTGGTTAACCAGAGAAATGAAACTTTCCTAGTGACCCAGTGTCTTAATATGGAATGGTTAGAAGCAGTGTAAACCAGGTACATGCCTTGTAATTTCAGCACTCAGGAGGCTGAGGCAAGAGGACCACTGTGAGTTCAAGGCCCGCCTGGGCTATAAAGTGAATTTAAGGCTAGGCTAAACTACATAGTGAAACCCTGTCTCAAAAAGAAAAAAAAAAAAAAAAAAAAAGCAGCAGCAATGTAGAATATCATGATTCTGGAAACTATATGTTTACTATTTCTTCTGTTTAAAAATGATATTAAAAGCCAGGTGTGATGGCAAACACCTGTAATCCCAGCACTCGGGAGGCTGAAGCAGGAGGATTGTTGCGAGTTCGAGACCTGCCTGGGCTACAAAGTGAGCTCAAGGCCAGCCTGAACTGCAAAGCAAGACCCTGTCTCAAACAGACAAAAAACAACAAAGTGGTACTTAAAAATCAGAGCTGTCCTCCCAGCACTCAGGAGGCTGAGGCAGGAGGATCACTGCAAATTCGAGGCCAATTTGGGCTACAAAGTAAGTTCAATGCCAGCCTGAAACCCTGCCTCAAAAAAGACAAAGAAAAAAAAAAAAAGCACACGCTGGCTATAATTATATATATAAAAAAATCATGTTAACACTGTCTAAAAGCCAGCTACTTCAATATCATGTATCATAGTTAGAAATAAGTAAGTTCTAACAACATTAAAAATAATCAAATTCCCCATTCAAGAATTTGCAAAGCAAGCTAGATACAGTGGTAAACATCTATAGCTCCAGCTACTTTAAACACTCAGGCAGTAGAATCACCTGAGTCCAAGAATACCTGGCTGGCCAAGGCAACAGCGTGAAACCCAGCTCAAATAAAACAAGAACAAAAACAAAAGGAAATTTAAAAACATATCAACCATCAACGTAAAAAGTAACTCATGACGGATTACACCAGGTAGGCTTAGAACACTGCATTCAGCTGGGAACCTGAGGTACTGACCGCATGAAGGCTGCTGAGAGGACGCACATGTAAGTGACTAGGGATGAAGTCAACGCTGAGCATTACAGAAAGCAATGTGGGACAAGGCAAGAAGGGCACGGCAGGAAAGCCCTCTGGACTCAACTGCTAAAGAGAAGCTTTCCCCTGAGATGACACCTGACACCTAAGACCTGAACAGAACAGGAAGCAAGATACTGGACTTGGGCAGAGAAGAAAGGGAGGCCAGGGCAGTAACTGGTGAGAAACAGAAAGTCAGCTTGGGCTAAGAAAGGAGGCTGAGGAAGAAGCCAGAGCCAGTACAAGTTCTGTAGGCAACTGCAGTCTGCCACAGCAGGGACTGGACTCAGGGGTGCCCTCTCCCTGAGCTACACCCCAGGCCTCTTTTAGCTCCCAAGACTTGCTCAATTCTCCAGACTGCTTTTGCACTTACCATCCTCTTGCCTCAGCCTACTGAATAGCAGTACTAGAAGTGTGCATCTCACACTAGCTCCTAATTTAATTCCTAAGACTAAGCCTGAGAGAAAGTATGACAAACTTAAGCAAATTCCAAGTAAGACATGAAAAATTCTTTCAAAGGGCCTTGACACACTTAAACCAGATGAAGGAAAAACCCATGAATTCATTTAAGACAGGGCAAAAGAAATTATCCAATCTGAAATACCTAAAGTAACACAGGCGAGGAGTGGCAGACTGACTGCAGATCCTCCACATTCATGAGCTCTGCAATGCCACAACACAGGCCTTGCGCCACACAGCCGGCTTGGACACAGCACAGGCTTCCCTAGCTACGCCTGGGAGGCTCCCAAGGCAACACGGGTCAGTCACATCTGCGGCACACAGCATGCATAGCCATCTCCAGTCAGGTCTGCAGGGACAGGGAAGGGACGGTGAGCCCAAACTCAGGTTTCACAACATATCCTTTGGGAGAGCCATCAGCAAGTCCAGCGGACCACCTTCCGAGGACCCAGCAACATAATCTAAGGGCCCTCCATGAGATCCCATTTCCTAAGGCTTCCAGCATTTACCTCTCCTCCGGCTTGGAGCAAACCATATGGGCCTAAGACCAACACTTCATCCAAACCCAAGTGGAATTTGAGGGGCATGTGCCAAGATTCAACTCTAACCTAATGTAATTCAAATTCCAAAAGGGGAAAGGACTGAAACATAAAGAGTTAATGGTGAAGAATTAACAGGCATAAACTACATGTCTTTATAAGATATGATCACAATTATGGTGAATGCTGCTGCATGCCACCCAATGTGTGTCCTCCTCCACCTTCCTCTCGGGTTCTGGCACAGGCAGCAGCTGGCTTTTTCCTGAAGTCAGAATGACCTCGGAAAGTAAACATTTTGAGCCAGGCACGGTGGCTCACACCTGTCACCCAGCACTCAGGAAGCTGACACAGTGGGATCACTGGGAATTTTGAAGCCAGACTGCATTCAGCCAAGAATCCACGGCACTGGCTTCATGAAGCCGCTGAGGGGACAAACACGTAAGGGACAGTAAGGATGAAAGTCAAGGCTGAGCATTACAGAGAGCAGCACGGGACAAGACAAGAAAAGCACACATCTGTGAGTTAAGGCCAGCCTGACTACATATGAAGGCCCTATTTCAAAAAAAGTAAGGAATTTCAATCAATTTAAGGACAGCTGTGCAAACATAAAGACACAGCAAAGAGGACTCACAGAGCTGCTCAAAAAGAGGCAGGAACAACAGGAAGTACGGTGGAGGGGATGATGGCAATGTATCTTTTACTATTAAAAATGTTTAAATTTAATCGTTCACTGTATTTTTCAACCAGACTGTTTTGATGTAATTGGACACTTCTATGGTAAATCCATGGTGTGACTGTTCCTCCAAAAATGGTAACCTACATCACCACGAAGAAATACGCTTTAACTTACTTATATTAATGATTCTTTAACTTTCCACCGTGAATCAGTGACTGACGTAAGATTAAGTCAGAATGAGGCTCCCTGACACAGGACAGCTATGTTAAAACCTCTCATACGATGAGAAAATGTTTTGTTTTGGATGCTAGAAACCAAACTCAGGGCTTTGTGCATACTAAGCAGGTGCTCAGTTACACCCCACAACTCTGGCAACACTGTAACAGACATAAACTGACAGACAGAAATCCATTTTGTTGTTGTTTTTAAGACATTTTGAGGTAGTGCTGGGCATAGTGGCTCATACCTGTAATCCTAGACTGGGGAAGCTGAGGCAGGAGGATCATTGAGTTCAAGACCAAACTAGACTACAAGTAAGCTCAAGGCCAGCCTGAACTGCACAATGAAACTTTATCTCAAAAGCAAACAAAAACCCCCAGATATTTTGAGGTACAATCATTACTTAGTACTTGAAATTACAAGAATATCCAAAAGAAGTATGTTGAAACAAATCAACATAGTAGTGAAAACCTTAAGCATAAATATTTATAGATTTTCTAATACTGTACTATAAATATTAAACATTTTTGCTATGTCTTGCCAAGATCAGATCTGGTAAGTTCTGAACTCATTTCCTCTCTTCTGAACCTAGTAAGGACCCTGAGATCAGAGAAAAATCCAACAAAAGGCAAAATCCTTGAGCCATCCTGTAAAGCTGAATATTATAACCAAAAAATTAACACTTCCTAAATCTGATGTGAGGGTTAAAGGGACTTAACCCAGTGTAGTGTCAACTGTGACTTTACTAACATGTGAATTAAGACACACGTTATCCAACTATTCCAGTGTTTGCCTGCCCTGCCCTTGGCCCTGGTCACTACAGCCATCTAGTAGCCAGTCCAAAACAAAGTGAATCACAACCATTTAGGACCTGACTCCAGTCTCCCAACACGATGGTTTAGCATATTAATAATTACTCAAATTTTTGTTGTTAACCATAAGAAGTTAAAATAGAACTGAACTTTCCTCAGAAGTTCCTCTCTTACCTAAGTAATATAAATTATTACCTCTGTGTAAACTCACAGGCTTTTACCTCAGTTCTGATCTCTCTCCAAAATTTTAATGCCATATTTCTAATGTCTGAAGTCAGAATGACCTCGGAAAGTAAACGTTTTGAGCCAGGCACGGTGGCACACACCCGTCACCCAGCACTTGGGAAGCTGACACAGTGCCTAGATCCCTACTCGTAGATATGCTGCTAAAACTTCAAATTAAATACTCTTGCACGCCTATAATCTTTATTCTTTGTTAACCTCACAATCTCTTTAGTTACCTAGGCTTAAAATCAGAATCATTCTTATTTAAAAGAAAACAGACAAGAG